GCAAAGGCGACTAAAAAGGAAGAAACCAGAGCTAGTGAAAATTCTTGTACATCTGAAAAACAATTAAAATATGACAGAAGTAAAAAAAAAAAGAAATCGTTTACTGTTCTAGATACCCTCTCTTCTCGATTTTCACTGAATGTCTGATCTCTAAAGGATGGCTTGCTGTTACTCTTCTTTCTTGCGAGACCTCAAAAAAGCAACACTCCATTGAAAAAGACTTGTTTATTCTTTTTTACAACGTCACAAAGAAACAGAGATAGGAAAAGTGACAACAGTCTGTTAACGGAGCGCTTCAGCGTTGTTTTTCGCGTAAAGTGAATTCTGAATGATGTACGTAATTTGTATTGTTAATGAAAATAATTCTCCATTGAACAAGCCTAACTGCATTTATAAATAGTAACAAAGATCCTAGTACAACCATATGGAAAAGAAAGGGTTGACATTCGTCACGAGATCGTGTTAAATAAAGATCCTCCCCTCCCCCACATACAAAATTCGTCTTGCTCGTATTAGACCCCGTGTGCCTTTCTACAGGCAAAACTCTTCGTTGAGCCATAGGGGTATTATGAAGAAAACGTTGCTCCATGCCTGCCTATTCGGCTAGATTCGCTTGTGACGTTCGTAGGGTAAGAGAGTGTTCCAGCTAACTTACATGAAAAATGTTGACATGAACTAGAACGAATTTTATCCAAGGATCAGATGTTATCAACAGATGATAAGAAGGTTATTTTTTTTTTAGATATGGAATTTACAATAGTATAATGATGAATCTGAAAGTAACGCGTTGAACTTCTCCTCCCCGGAAGAGAATATAAACTGCAGTTTATATTCCCTTGCTGACACAGCAACCGGTCAAGTCGCCTGAGAGTCATCTCGCCCGAAGTTATGTCCTTCGAAACCTGAGTCATGTTGACTTTGACTACACAGAAATCGATCGTATGCTCGGAATTGAAATATGTTTGAGTAACGATCCTAAAAGCGTTGTTCGTTTCTAACAACAAAGGGAAGCGTTCTCCGTTTCTGACAAAAAATGAAGCGTTGTTCGTTTGGTATGTACTCGTTTCTTACTCACGGACATTTCGTAAGCTTGGGCAACTCTTTCTTGTGTCTTAAAATGCTATGAAGACTTTGACTACACAGAAATCGATTGTATAGTCAGAATTGAAATATGTTTGAGTAACGACTCTACAAGCGTTGTTCGTTTCTAACAACAGAGGGAAGCGTTGTTCGTTTCTATAACAACAAGTGCATGGATGCAGCGTAACATACAAGTAAAGTTCTTTGTGTCTATTTGTGACTTTCTTAACAATAACAGATGTAAACACCTGATAAACGAATGTCGATTGTCGCGTTCGATAAGCCGGTAAAGGGTAAAGCGAGTAACATACAAATAGAATTAACTTGTTGCCTTGCGTAAGGTAAATGTGATGTTTTTAAGATAACAGTCTATTGTTTATGCTTGTGACTTGTTTCACAGTAGTAGTCTGATAGCATCATTTCCCTTAGGATCAGAATAGACAAATATTATGTAGTTGTGCTCTGTTTCCCCTGGCGGTCGCATGTATATTTTGATCCGATCAAAGTATATATGAAGAGGGTAAAGCTAGCTACAATACGAATACGAACTGATCAAAATCATCCTCTGTTACATTGAGTGAGATGATGAAGTTAGACAACGTCAACAAGCTGTTCAGTGCGACGTTTACGGTCGATCATATGGCCTTTCTGACCATATGATCGATTTCTGTATAGTCAAAGTCTTCATGTATGTGTTTACGAACGTTCAATCGAAGTTTTTCTCTCTCTCCCCTTTTTTTTTTTTTTTTTTGGTTGTTTTTACTTAGAATGCGCGAAATCTGCTGATAAATCGAAAAATGTCCATTTCTCGTCTTCTTTGGGACGACCGATAGAAACTTCACGGAGAAATACAGTGTCACGCCATCGTGACAACGTACATGTTTATTACAAATGACTGGTGTAAGGATAGTTTCGTGTAGCTCAGCCGACTTCAACATGTTGTAAATGACATACAAGTATAAAAGTGTATCTTCAGAGCACTTCAGATCGCTCAAATTCCCATGAAAGAAGGTGCAGCACTCGGAATCTGGATGATATGCACACGATTTGAGGTATATGTTTGTAGTTACGTCAAGTAGTCCTCCAGCAAAGGTGACAACCAGAGGCGAGATTTCTCTTCAGTATATTGCTCATAAGATAACATTCTTTCAAAGCCTTATATGTTTCATTTGTCTGAAACATTTGTTGTTGAGAACATTAGATGTAAAGATCGCCAAATTATGCAATATCTGATTTTTGAGCTTCGTTCGCGAATTGCCCCTACAAAAAGTAGAGGCAGGCGCGCAGAGATTTTTACATATTTAAAAACTAGAATATTATAAACAGCTAGGTGGGTATTTTCAGTTCAAGAATCGTTGTGCTTTTGGAGAAATTGAGATAAACGTTTTCCCTGTTTTACCCGACAACAAAAATGACCGAAACTGTACCGAGATAAATAATCTATTAGCGTGTTCACATTCACTCCCAGGAGAAATTAAATGTATCAAAGTGAAGACGAATGATGTTACTATGTATGGTAGAAGTACCAATTTGTAATGTTGTATTTAGCTTGAGATAGAGAAATAAACATTTCACTCTTTTTTTGCGATGTTTTTGTATGAAAATGAGGCCCCAGGCCTCGAACAAGCAGTCGTTGTTACCATGGCAACAAGAGTGCTGCAAACTTTAAAAAGCGCATTTTTGTGCACCCCCCCCTGAGTGCCTAACTGTATGCAAAATTTGAAGGGGGGTTGAACATTTTTATTTCCTAAGATGTTTGATTCTTATACAGAGACTTGATTTTAATGATAAAAATTATGTTGTTGATCCCCTGTTTTTTTTAAGGATCTTAACCCTTTAACTCCCAAGGTATCATATAAATTTGGAGAATTTGGTATTAGATCAACTAATAATAACCTAATTGAAATTTTACTGTATTCTCATCACTTGTATGCATGATATTGTATTGATATTGTGAGGAGAAATTCTCTTTTGGTCACTCATGGGAGTTCGTTTGTTTCACTGCAAGGAGCGTGAAGGAGGGGAGAGTCGGTGAAAGAGATTAAGTTGGTGAGCGGTGATAGACTAAGTATTCAAACCAACACGATTGTTGACGGGCATGCGCGAGAGGATCAGTTCTTGTCGACCGTGCGCTAGTTTCCCGTGCGTTGAGAATTCGCTTCTTCTCCAGCTCGGAGAGATATACTGTTTAAAGGACCATTGAGTGACATCTCACACCCTGTTTAAGAATCGATCTCCGGAAAACACAGCCTATTGGCTGAATACACATGCTGCAGTGCTTTTCGATGTATCCGCAGCCATCGCACGCAATAAGCTTTCAACTCAAATACATGTCAAATCGTACCGTCGAAATTTCGAGGAAAAATGTCGTGCCCATAGTGATTTTTTTCATTTTTTCCGCAAATTTGCAAGGCTCACGCTGCATGCGAACATTTGAGGTTGTATGCGATAGTTGAGAGCAAAATCATACGACACCCAAGTAGGCTTTAAAAACAAAGGAAACGTCAAAAAGAACTAAACATATTTCATCGAAATGTAACAAAAAAAACCCTTTTGTAACCTCTTCGCACTCAATTTCTCATCTAAAAAACGTAATTGATCACATGAAAAATCAATGTGAACTTTCCTAAAGTGGGTAGATCAAGTCGAATTTTTCAACACGCCGACGATGTCCGGAGAAAACGAGGAGAAAAACTTAGTCTAGCCATAACAGAGGGAAATCTTTACTTCTGCTCCTAAATCGTTAAAATTCGTCTTGTGATGTAAACCACTGAGATTACAAGCGGAACGAGAAAGTTGCCCACAATCTTGACATAGTCAGGAAGGGGGTGGGGTAACTGAAACTTCATACTCCCTCCCTTAGGTCATATTGAAATGTTTTTGTAGAGACGTTCCACTAAGTAACTGACCAGGAGCGAAGGGACCAATTTAAAGAGGAAGGCGGGTACCCTGGTGGGTCAGGAACACATTTCAAATCCATTTGGCGCATTTTGGAGCACTGATTGGAGAAAAAAATTTTCACTACCAACCAACCTTGAGGCTTGTTCATTTTTTTGTTTTTGTTTTTTTGTTTTTTGTGTTTATTTCTATTGTTAAAGCTTCAGGTCAGCCATTTGTGTTCATCCTTTTTGCCAAAAAAGTGCGTAAGGGCGCGCGTTATTCAAAGTGATCAGATATGACCCATGAAGGTTGCCAGAAATTTTCTTCATTTTGTTATTGACTTACCCCTCCCTTCCAACAAAATGTCAAATGACATGTCTCATTTTTGACATTCAAATGCTTCTTTTTTGTACTTACGAAATAGGCAAACAACTAAATAGGAGTGACTAAATATATCACTAGGTTTCAGCTTTCTCGCACATTCTGAGCTTCTATCGATGCTTTGCATGATAAACAATCGTGAAAATGGCAGTAACAACAAAAGATTGAAACAAAACTCTTTGTAACCTCTCGTTTTACTATTGTGCGATTACTTTTAACAGCATATCTAAAATGCATCGTGATGCTTAAACAATAAGCACAATTTATGGCATTCAAACGTAAAAGAAAAATCTGTTGAAATATTGTTAAAAACAAAATTATATCCGGGCCATAAAAATAAAAATCTGTCAATTTTAGTCCCGGAAAACAATGTTTCTGATACAGAGAAAAAACTTTGATAAGCAATGACCAGGTAAAAATCCACAAAAATGTTTATCACATTCTCCATTTGACATAAACTAAGATATTCGAGTAATCAGACTATTGATTATTCTCAAAGATCTATGGATATGTTTCTAATAGCTTTATATCCCTCATCAGGAAAAAACCGATCCAGAGAAAAATCTGTACAAAAAATCTTTGGAAATCATCTTAAAGACGTCTCTACTTTAACGTTAATGTGACGCCCAAAATCTTGTCTATTGTTAACAGTTTCATCCATGTTTGACTAAAAAAATGTAACTTACTTGAAATATAAATTAAATGAGTATCAGCTTGAGTAAGATATCAAGGATCAAAACACTTGAAAGTCCTTTTCCTTTAGAGTGTCCAAAATCAGTCAAGCTCGTAAGAACAGTTCAGACAGGCGAAAAGTCAAGTTTTGAAACAATAGAGATCGTTAGGGACTCTCGTTAACTTTGGCCATCTTTTGATCCTCCGTGCTTTAAAGAGAAGACTCTTGACAAAGATTTCATCGGTAGCTTACTGGTTTCCGGTCCAAATATCACCGTTGACTTCCGCGGGCTTGGTCCTTGACCTGATACAGTTCCAATGCTCACTGCGTCAGCTGAAAAATAGGAGTTAAAATTCAAGAAGGATCGTTGAGTTGCCATAGGATGTTTCCCTTGGCTATGCAAAATAAAATCTATCTTTTTTTTCTTTCAAATCATGATTCTCATCGTAAATGTGTCGCAGCGATTGCATTGCACCTCAGTTTACTCGAGCAAAGAAAAATTCCTAATTCGATTGAAAGCAAAATAAAATAAAACAACTATGATTTTGATTTAAGTCACTTGGTATTGAATAAATGCTATAAACAGAGTAATTACATGGTTCGAAGTCTGAATTTCCTTGAAATCCAGGCTGACGTCATCACCAAGGAGTACGAATGGTGCCCAGTACTGCACCTCTTTGAACATTTCACTCTCTCTCATGCACTTCATGGCCTGCTGGAGAGCTTCACTTGCCTTCTTGCCTTTAGCAAGTGCATCGTAGAAGAAACTCATGAACTCCAGGGTTCCCTCGTCATCAATCGCCCATAAGGTTACCACAACAGATTTAGCACCGGCACCCAAAAATGCTCGCGCGATGCCGACCACACCCTCGGCCATAACCTTCCCACGAGCGGTGTGACAACAACTTAGTACAACCAGTCGAGCCCGCAGCCCAGTTTCTAGGACATCGTTCATAGTCATTAGATAGTCTTTTTCTTCTGGCTGAGAGTTTTTCCTTGTAGTGCTTGGTGCCAAGATGACTTCTCCAGTTTCCATTTTACCGTGCGCTGCAATGTGAACTAACGCCACTGATGACATTCGTTTTAACACCTTTTCTTTTGTTGCCATTTCTCCAATGAGAGGGGAATGTTTTAGGATGCGTCCGATCATCTCCACTTCTTTCCTTGCTCCCGGAAGTTGCACCAAAAGTCCTCCCTCATAGATGATATGTTTGAAACATGGGTCGCCAACAAGCAATGCACCCCTTTTCATGTGGAATTCAGCTGGGCAATCATGAATTAGTTGCAACGTCGTCAGAGACGGAAGCACACGAATACTGAAAGAATCACTTAGATATGATGACCTCGAGTCCTCCAATGCTGCATAAGGTATAAGGCAAAATGGCCCCTCAGGAACAAAAGTCATCTCGTTGCCTTTGATCAGATCAGCAATAGGAGAAACGATGATGTCATGAAGCTTCTGTAGAGCCCTTGATTGTGAGCACCTCACATCAACTCGGATCACATCCTTGGCAACTTCCTCCTCTTTTGGCGAACCAGGTGAAGGATTTTTGCATGGAACAGCATCTCTTCTACCAATCTCCTTAAGGGCAGTTTTGTTCTGTAGCCGGATGAAAAATTCCAATTCCTTCTCATATTTATAATTGTTCACATGTACTTTTCTCATCTGGATATTATTTTCACAGAGAAAAACCCAGAAGTGAACGCATGGTCCATTGAGAGCAATAAAAACTGTATTTGATGGAACAGAATTCAGGGAAAGGCACGAACCGCTATTCCTTAAAGTATTATCAGGCCGATATCTTGTGTCCATAAGATCTCTTAGAGCTTGAGCACGTCCTTTTTCTGCGGCAAGAAGAGCGTTCACAACTTTACCTTGAATGAGAATTATACGCCACAAACCTTTGTATGCACTTTGGTGCTGATTACGATAAGAAATCTTCCACTGATCGTTGAGTTGAAGACTGGCCGTGATGTCATCATGCACCTCTACACTCGAGTTAAAGTAGGTGAAGGCCCTCATGGGATCTCCTTGGCACCCGAAACTTATTCCAAGAGAACCGAGTGAGCACGCTTCTCCAGTCTTGTCCCTTACTTCTTTGGATATTTCTAGGTAACGTTGATACGACTCGATTGCCCTTTTAAACTTTTTTTGACCGCGAAGAATGGTGCCGAGATGGTAATAATTTAATCCCTCTCCGGTCTTGTCTCCCACCTCTTGAGCAATTTCTAGAGAACGATTCTGGTACTCGATTGCTGTTTGGAACTGTCGTAATTCATAGTAAACGTCCCCGAGATTGCCATAAGTTCGTCCCTCTCCCACTTTGTCTCCCACTTCTTTAGCAATTTCTAGATGACGTTGATGGTACTCGATTGCTGTTTTGAACTTTCGTAGAGCACGATAAGCGTTTCCCAGATTGCCATAACTTCGTCCCTCTCCCGCTTTGTCTCTCACTTCTTTAACAATTTCTAGACAACGTTGATGGTACTCCATTGCTGTTTGGAACTGTCCTAGACTTTGATAAGCGTTCCCAAGATTGGCATAACTTCGTCCCTCTCCCGCTTTGTCTCCCACCTCTTTAGCAATTTCTAGATCACGTTGCTGGTACTCAATTGCTGTATGGAACTGTCCTAGACCACAATAAGCGTTTCCAAGATTGCCATAACTTCGTCCCTCTCCTGCTTTGTCTCCCACTTCTTTAGCAATTTCTAGACTACGTTGATCGTACTCGATTGCTGTTTGGAACTGTCCTAGATCATGATAAACGCTCCCAAGATCGGCATAACTTCCTCCCTCTCCCGCTTTGTCTCCCACTTCTTTAGCAATTTCTACACGACGTTGATGGTACTCGATTGCTGTTTGGAACTGTCCTAGGCCATGATAAGCGCGCCCAAGATTGGCATAACTTCCTCCCTCTCCCGCTTTGTCTCCCACTTCTTTAGCAATTTCTAGACGACGTTGATGGTACTCGATTGTTGTTTGGAACTGTCCTAGACCATGATAAGCGCGCCCAAGATTGACATAACTTCCTCCCTCTCCCGCTTTGTCTCCCACTTCTTTAGCAATTTCTAGATGACGTTGATGGTACTCGATTGCTGTTTGGAACTGTCCTAGAGCATCCTAAGCGTTGCCGAGATTGCTATAACTACCTCCCTCTCCCGCTTTGTCTCCTGCTTCGTTAGCAATTTCTAGATGACGTTGATGGTACTCAATTGCTGTTTGGAACTGTCCTAGACCATGATAAGCGTTCCCAAGATTGGCATAACTTCGTCCCTCTCCCGCTTTGTCTCCCACTTCTTTAGCAATTTCTAGGTGACGTTGATGGTACTCAATTGCTGTTTGGAACTGTCCTAGACCATGATAAGCGTTCCCAAGATTGGCATAACTTCGTCCCTCTCCCGCTTTGTCTCCCACTTCTTTAGCAATTTCTAGATGACGCTGATGGTACTCGATCGCTGTTTGGAACTGTCCTAGACCACAATAAGCATTGCCGAGACTGCCATAACTTTCTCCCTCTCCCACTTTGTCTCCCACTTCATTAGCAATTTCTAGATGACGTTGATAGTACTCGATTGCTGCTTGGAACTGTCCTAGACCAAAATAAGCATTGCCGAGATTTCCATAACTTCCTCCCTCTACCGCCTTGTCTCCCTCTTCTTTAGCAATTTCTAGACATTGTTGGTGGTACTCGATTGCTGTTTGGAACTGTCCTAGAGCATCATAAGCGTTTCCGAGATTGCCATAACTTTCTCCCTCTCCCGCTTTGTCTCCTACTTCTTTAGCAATTTCTAGATGACGTTGATGATACCCAATTGTTGTTTGGAACTGTCCTAGACCAAAATAAGCATTGCCGAGATTTCCATAACTTCCTCCCTCTACCGCCTTGTCTCCCACTTTTTTAGCAATTTCTAGACATTGTTGGTGGTACTCGATTGCTGTTTGGAACTGTCCTAGAGCATCATAAGCGTTTCCGAGATTGCCATAACTTCCTCCTTCTCCCACTTTATCTCCTACTTCTTTAGCAATTTCTAGATGACGTTGATGGTACTTGATTGCTGTTTGGAACTGTCCTAGACCATGACAAGCGTCGCCAAGACTGCCATAACTTTCTCCCTCTCCCACTTTGTCTCCCACTTCTTTAGCAATTTCTAGAGCACGTTGATGGTACCCGATTGCTGTTTGGAACTGTTCTAGACCATCGTAAGCGTTCCCAAGATTGGTATAACTTCGTCCCTTTCCCGCTTTGTCTCCCACTTCATTAGCAATTTCTAGATGACGTTGATGGTACTCGATTGCTGTTTGGAACTGTCCTAGACCATCGTAAGCGTTCCCAAGATTGGTATAACTTCGTCCCTTTCCCGCTTTGTCTCCCACTACTTCTTTAGCAATTTCTAGATCACGTTGATGGTACTCGATTGCTGTTTCGAACTGTCCTAGACCATGGTAAGCGTTGCCGAGATTGGCATAAACTCGTCCCTCTCCCGATTTGCCTCCCACTTCTTTAGCAATTTTTAGATGACGTTGATGGTACTCCATTGCTGTTTGGAACTGTCCTAGACCAAAGTAAGTATTGCCGAGATTGCCATAACTTCGTCCCTCTCCCGCCTTATGTCCCACTTTTTTAGCAATTTCTAGACATTGTTGATGGTATTCCATTGCTGTTTCGAACTGTCCTAGACGATGGTAAGCGTTGCCGAGACTGGCATAACCTCGTCCCTCTCCCGCTTTGTCTCCCACTTCTTTAGCAATTTCTAGATGACGTTGATGGTACTCGATTGCTGTTTGGAACTGTCCTAGAGCATCATAAGCGTTGCCGAGACTACCATAACTTTGGCCTTCTCTCGCTTTGTCTCCCACTTCTTTAGCAATTTCTAGATGACGCTGATGGTACTCCATTGCTGTTTGGAACTGTCCTAGACCACAATAAACATTGCCGAGACTGCCATAACTTCGTCCCTCTCCCGCCTTGTCTCCCTCTTCTTTAGCAATCTCTAGACGACGTTGATGGTACTCGATTGCTGTTTGCAACTGTCCTAGACCATGATAAGCGTTGCCGAGATTGGCATAACTTCCTCCCTCTCCCGCTTTGTCCTGCACTTCTTTAGCAATTTCTAGATGACGTTGATGGTACTCGATTGCTGTCTGGAACTGTCCTAGACCATGATAAGCATTGCCGAGATTGCCATAACTTCGTCCCTCTCCCGCCTTGTGTCCCACCTCTTTAGCAATTTCTAGACACTGCTGATGGTACTCGATTGCTGTTTGGAACTGTCCTAGAGCATCATAGGCGTTGCCGAGACTGCCATAACTTTCTCCCTCTCCCGCTTTGTCTCCCACTTCTTTAGCAATTTCTAGATGACGTTGATGGTACTCCATTGCTATTTGTAACTGTCCTAGACCACAATAAGCATTGCCGAGATTGCCATAACTTCGTCCCTCTCTCGCCTTGTGTCCCACTTTTTTAGCAATTTCTAGACATTGTTGATGGTACTCGATTGCTGTTTGGAACTGTCCTTGAGCATCATAAGCGTTGCCGAGACTGCCATAACTTTCTCCCTCTCCCACTTTGTCTCCCACTGCATTAGCAATTTCTAGATGACGTTGATGGTACTCGATTGCTGTTTGGAACTGTCCTAGACCATCATAAGCGTTGCCGAGATTGCCATAACTTCGTCCCTCTCCCACTTTGTCTCCCACCTCTTTAGCAATTTCTAGATGACGTTGATGGTACTCGATTGCTGTTTGGAACTGTCCTAGGGCATCATAAGCATTGCCGAGACTGCCATAACTTTGTCCTTCTCCCGCTTTGTCTCCTACTTCTTTAGCAATCTCTAGATGACGCTGATGGTACTCCATTGCTGTTTGGAACTGTCCTAGACCACAATAAACATTGCCGAGACTGCCATAACCTCGTCCCTCTCCCGCCTTGTCTCCCACTTCTTTAGCAATTTCTAGACGACGTTGATGGTACTCAATTGCTGTTTGGAACTGTCCTAGATCACAATAAGCGTTGCCGAGACTGCCATAACCTTGTCCCTCTCCCGCTTTGTCTCCCACTTCTTTAGCAATCTCTAGACGACGTTGATGGTACTCGATTGCTGTTTGCAACTGTCCTAGACCATGATAAACGTTGCCGAGATTGGCATAACTTCCTCCCTCTCCCGCTTTGTCTCCCACTTCTTTAGCAATTTCTAGATGACATTGATGGTACTCGATTGCTGTTTGGAACTGTCCTAGAGCATCATAAGCGTTGCCGAGACTGGCATAACTTCCTCCCTCTCCCGCTTTGTCTCCCACTTCTTTAGTAATTTCTAGACAACGTTGATGGTACTCGACTGCTGTTTGGAACTGTCCTAGACCATGATAAGCGTTGCCGAGATTGCCATAACCTCGTCCCTCTCCAGCCTTGTCTCCCACTTCTTTAGCAATTTCTAGATGACGTTGGTGGTACTTGATGGCGGTTTCGAACTCTCCTAGACCATGATAAACGCTGCCGAGATTGCAATAACTGATCATCATCACGTTTAGTCCATCATTAGATCTGTTCAGTAGATGAAGCAGACCTTTACCATTCTTGTCAATCTTAAAATTTGTCAAGGATACAGAAGTCACGATTTTAGCAAGAATTAGAATATTAGGTAGGATTGGACGTGGCTGTCCTATAAAGTTTTGCTGCTTAAACATTATGCTTATTCATAAAGTGAATATTAATGTAAACGAGCTTTCAAAGGTAATTACTTGTTTAGTTTCTACCTTGGTCCCTTCTTTTAATTTAGGTTTCATGAAATAATCGAAAAAGCTCTTGAGAATAATATTATATTCGCTTGTTTTAAGTGCTAAAGGCATCATTTAATAGTTATACACGGACGCGCGTAAATGTGGAATTTTTTTCGAGTGTTTAACTACATAGACACAAGTGAGGTATCGAGTTAAACACGAGAAGAGAAATTCCATATCTACAAGTTAATATATATTTTTTCTATTACATGAGTACAACAGCCCTTTACTGAGGGAAAAGTCGACTTAATTAATGAATGAAAAATAAAAAAGGATCTACAGTTTCTGAAGGAAAGTTATTACGTGCTTTGACGACAAGGCTCAGGTTGAAAAATGCGTTGACTCGTTGCAAAAACAAACAATGGGCGTAATTTTTTAATTTACAAAATTCTCAGCTGTTGAATATTTCCTTACCGACAGAAGAAATATTTTGGAGCACCCGGCCAAAATAGGCCTGGGGCAAGTCTCCCAGTCCTCGATTGTCGCTCTTAACCGCGAGAACTTTCGGTTCTTGTTTTTTCCCCCTTCTAGGAAATTATGAACGTCATTGTCTGTACGCGATACAAATTTTTCAATGTTTTTGTAGTCGTAACCTGATTGAACCGTATTGATTTTCTTTGAAATATTTCTCACATTGCATCTATTATCTCGCTCGAAACTTTCGTCAAAGGATACGGCCAATCCCATGTGCAACCAGCTCCTTGCTTCTTCATACGAGCAAAGTTCGACACAAGCTCTGGCTCCTCAAAAGAAAGAATGCAATGATTGGTAGAGCGAAGTAATTCAAGGTATACATGTGTGCAGACTGTGTTTTTCATTTAGTTCGTAAGACAACTGTGAAATGAAGGAAAATAGAAGTTGTGGAAGAATTGAAAGTGGACAATAAGAGTTAGTGCAAAGCGGCTACCAATATTGGTTCAAATATTTGAAGGCTTATGAACCTCTTGGTGCATTTTCCCCCACTAGCAGACATTGACACACCAGATACAATTGACACCTGGGATGCAGTCAGCTGCCACAATCCATACAATTTCCTTTTGACGAAATCAGTTTTAAGAGTTTTGATGACTATGGCTGAAAAAAACTCACCTTTCTTAATAGCTTTGATTAAAGTGGGTTCCAATTGAAGAGCAACCGTTGCGTCATGGAGACACTGCAGGTAGTTCCCTATGGAATTCAGGAATTAAATTTAAGTAGTCATTAATGAAGTCATAAAATGCATGTAATTTGTGTAATTTCTTTACGGTAGCCAAATCAAATTACCAACTCATTTGAGAAAACCAAATCAACCTGCACGCCCTTTCTAA